CTTGCCACAAGATTTCAGATCAAAGGGTTTTATAGAAAATTAAAAACAAAAAGGTGCCCACACACGCTGGCGATTGGATTATGCTCATATTGAAATCTGAGTCATCCAGCTTATACTTACCATTGAATAGGCCAATTGGCTCACAAAATGATTTTTCTACAGACATATGCAATGTATACTATGTCCCAAGCCCAGGAAAAATAGGTGGGTTGTGTTAGTCAGGTAACCAACGTAGAACTTTGTCAAAACTTTCCATGATATATAATACGTATTGTGGCTCTAAGAAGATCTTCTATATATAAATATTGAGATAGCTCATGTCTTACGTAACAGCCAAGGATTAGCTCACACATTTGCCATTTAGGTTCTACATAGAGATGCATTATTTTGTCTAGAATCTAGACAATTTGGCTCTTTTCAAGATTAAAAATTTATGTACACACTTTTTAAGGGAACTTACGGAAAGGCAATAAAAAACCAGAGAGCAAATTATAATATAACCAATAATGTCAACATGAAAAAGTCCATTGATCGTACGCTCCCTCAAGGATATACTCAGTTGGCTTTTAGAATTTAGAATTTAAAATTTACCTTTTTCTCTTCTTCTAAATGCTCATGTGATTTAAAAGAGAAAATTTAAATTTTTGATATTTAAAACACCAATAAGTAAGTTTTTTTTTATTGGTATTAAGTACATAGTATGCTCCTCCAAGAGCATTTTAATATATACTTTGTTATAGTTGTGTGGACGCAATCCCACTTTTACACACATGTCTAGCATTAATGTATAGATACATTTAATGCTACTTTTTACCTTTTATAAAAGAACCAATTCTTTATACAAAAAGACCATATAATCCCCTTCAATTTAATAAAATATTTTATAAATTTCGTAATTTCTTAAAATGTAACACATTTTATTGAAAAAAGTTTAAATTGTATAAAGAAACAACATTTCCAATTTATATCGATATATATTTGTGTTATTTCCAAACATTCTTTTAAAACCTGAACTTTTATGAAAGGCTAAAGCTTTTGTAAATTTAATTTGCACTTAGAATAACTATCAATCAAAATTTATAATTGAAAAATATCATTAATTAGTGGATAAAACTAAATTTAAATTAGAAATAACCTTAGTAAGGGAAGCATAGTTAGTTGGTCATTCATGTTATTTCAAATTAAGGGCATGGCATTCAGGAACTACACTTGGAGTTTAGGTTCACAAAAATGTGAAGTTTTGGACAAGCTATTCTCATATTAATAACCTATTTCTTTTAAAAAAAAAAAATCAATTGATAGATCTATCATATAATATACTGTATGTATAATATAATATATATTAGTGTATGTTCCTTGGGGTATATAATCCCTCGGATACAAGTACTGTACAAAAATGTTTTTAGGATCTCAATTTCATAACATCTTCAACCAGACAATACTCAACCTCAAAAAATGAAAATTTTAATACTCATTTTATGTATAACCGCAAAAAAAAGTTTAAGATTGAATGTAGACCATTATGTTTTTCGACAGTGGCATCTGAGTGTTTAGAATATCGAAATGTTTTTTTTCTATTACATTCATCTTGTTATTTTAAAGTGAATCCCAAAATTTTAAATCCAAAAAGTACACCTAAATAGATATTTTATCCAATTAAATATATAGTTGTATAATTGTTTACAGCCAGATCCAAGAGAATCTCATGATGAAATCTCCCCAAATTTATGCTCTAAACGGCTAAATTTTAAATCGGTACAGATTGTGGGGATTAGTCAAATTATGGTTCAAAGATAGATCCTTATCTTAAAAGATCAACCCTCTAAGAACCGCCAATAAACCAGGCTTGGAATCACACAAAATCCATGACGAAATCAAGAAAACAACAAAAGAAAAAAAAAGGAAATAAATTGAGAATCAAAGAAAAGAAATAACTTACTTGAAATTTTATCCCACTTGCCCGACACCTGAAGTTGGTGGCATGGATTAGACTAGCGATTGAAGTGTCTTCATCCTCAACCCTAGAGCTTTGCTTGAATGAGAAGTACCTAGGGCATGTTTATCCTAGGGTTTTTTATTTGCTTAGGACATTGTTTTCCTAAGGCTTTGAATTAGGGTTTTGAAGATTGTAGAGAATTAGGGTTGTAGAGTTTAGCTTAAGGTTAGATCCCTTAGGGTTTTCTCAGGTTTCCTAGTTCTATAGTTTCTAAGTTCCAGTGTTTCAAAAAGCGCTAGGCGGCACCTAGGTGGTCGGGGGGGTCCACGCTGCCTAGCACCTAGGCGAGCGCCCAGAACCTAGGAGGCCCAGTAGAATTTTTTTTTTGGGTTTTTCTCTTTCTAAAATAGCTTCTAATGGATTTTAGGTTTCAAATGAACCTAAAATCCACAATTTTTCCCCTTTAGTATTAAAAAAATGACCCAAAAATATCCTCAAGGAACCGCAGGCCCTAGGTAGCCGCCTAGGCGGGTTCAGGTGGGCGCCCAGCGATATCCGCCTAGGCGGCCGCCCAGGCGCTGAGCGGTCCGCTTTTTGAAACAGTGCTAGGTCCTAGGGAATTTTATCTAATTTCATGGAATTTCAAGTATTTCATATATGAGTTTTGAGAGGCTAGAGAAGGCTTATATACGATTTTGGTGGCGCACAAGTCCAATTGGGATTGGGACTCCTAAATCTATCTTTAGGCTTGATGATAGGGTCTAACTAATGATAGGATTGGAATTCCAAGCTTTTTATCATGTCAAAACTGACTCAAATTTGTTCTAGAATGTTCCAGAAGATCAAAAAATTCCATTAACAAGAAACATCAAGGTTTCGAGATTTGATTCGAGGCCCAGAGCAGGCAACAATGAGCATCCCGCTGCTGCCCTAGACCAGGCCCAAACAACTCCATAAATTACGGAGGTCCAGTCTGATGGTGGTCTGATTGGTTTTTGACCTTTTCTAAGGGTCTAAATTGAGGTTTTCAGAGGTTTTGGGACTATAGGTCATGGTGTACTGAGCTAATATAGTCCCAATGGTTCACGTTTACAGGTTTTTGGGATCTTAGGGCTTCAAAATTTAAGGAAATTAGCCAATTTAAAAGTGGGTGTCTACAGTTACCCTTTTTGGCGCACCATGCTCTTTGCATAACAAGTGGGTAGAAAAGAAGTAGACACCTAGAACAACTTTTACTCTTTCCTTTTCCCTAATATCAAATGGTCAAAGGGCCTACCAATCCATATTTGGAGAATCCTCGAGAGGTCACTTAGTCACCTAGGGCATTTCATCCTAGGGTTTTATGGACATGATGTTTCTTCATGTTGGTCATCATAACTGGATTTTCTAGCCATGCCACTTGATCTTAGGCTTTCAATTTCTCAATTTTCAATCTCCTTATATCCCTTTCCCATTCAAGTTTTCCTAGGGTAGTGTGTTTTGGTGGTTGGTTTGAGGTTTTTACCTGAGATGGCTTGGTTTGATACTTCTCTAGTTCAAGCAATTCTCTATTTTTGATTTCATCAATAGCATAGCATCATGGTGCCCTCATCTCGTAGTGCTAGACTGCTTATCGGTCAAACAGCCCTGGGCAAACGCTCCTAACTCCTTCATTTTTAAAATAATATAAAGTAAATTTTTTAAAATAGGAAAAAATTTCAGAAATAGTACAAAGTCCCCAGGTAAGATTTTAACAAAGAAATCAAGGTTTTTGAAATCACAAGACACAAAATTTGAAATTTGGATGGGGAGATTTTTTAAAACGATGAAGTCAGCAATTTTAGTTCATACAACCATGGAGCCCTCTAAGAAATTTTACCTCATGCAGCTATTGATATCTTCACAATTTTACGTCATGCCCTAGACATCTTTGCAATTTAACGTCATGCCCAGGGCATATCTTCGCAGTTTAGCGTCATGCCTAGGACAAATCTTCGTAGCTTAACATCATGCCCAAGACGGATATTTGCAGTTTAATGTCATGCCCAAGACAAATCTTTGCAATTTAACGTCATGCTCAATACGTATTCCAAAATACACCCAACATGATATTCACAGTTTAATGTCCTGCCCAAGAAGGATCTTTGCAATTTAACATCATGCTCGATACGTTTTCTAAAATACACCCAACGTTTTACATCATACGAGGTTAGACATTTTTTAATTTTGAACTAAAAAGAAATTTTGAAAGTGGACAATAGTTTAGCCTCATGCCACACTGTGAAGCATTTTTTGAAAAATTTGGAAAAAGGTTTTTTGAAAAGATTTTGAAAAATATCATTATTAAAATTGTGGATCTTACAATTTAATCACTTGACCCCTTTGGTAGACCTTATGAGCTTCGCCAACTATATCTAGGACTTTCAGAACGAGGGATCATCAAGAACTCCTTCATATCCCAACCATGGCCATGATGTCGCATTCTAAAGGGTTCTTTGAAGCCTCCGAACGAACCAGTGTCTTTAAAGAATGCAGAATATCACCCCTTACTACTCGGGATTTTCTTGGACTTTCCAAATTCATTCTTCCACCACCAATCGTTTGAAGCTCAAATGGTTAAGGCCCTTCGGGTTTTTAATTGGAGAGTTCCTAAACCATGATTAGTCAGACTAATGTCCCTTAATTTTAAGCTTTTGTGAACCGGATCAATTTTGACTTTGGTGTTCTGAGATCTACTTTATTTTCCTTTGAGATATTGGCCCCCTTTTTTCTTGACTTCTAGGAAATCAAGAGCGTCTTTCATGTTGCTTTGAATTTTGAAGGCCTCTTTAGCCCCCTTTTTTTTCTGCTCGCACAAGGTTCCTTTTGGATTTTCAGCCCGACGGCTTTTTCTCCAACACTCAGAGCTGCAATCAATTTTTTTTATATATATGTTAACCGAGGGAATGTGGGGTGGGACATCATGTTAACATCAGCTCCCCTTACCACTTATGCCTCAACCCAGTTCCCAGGGTTGCAATCATATTAAATGTTTCCAACATAAAAAAGTAAACTTTTGCACCCTTCAACATCTTCTCAAAATCATTGCCCCCTATCTCTCAAATTTTTCAAGAGGAAAGTCATTGCACATATTTAAGAAGACCAGTATCTTCCATGGCATTTCAAGTATCATATTTCTTATTAGCATAACACTTTAATTGGACATTAGAAAAATTAGGTAAGGTTTTGAACCTTCGATGCCCACACCAAGATGCACAATTCATGAATTTGACAATGGCAGAGATTACATAGTAAACCTCTATGAATGTCTCATTGTATACTCTAATGTGATCAAAGTCGTCTCAATAGAACATGACCAACCTCCGTGATTATCGGTCTGCTACCTCAAAGAGTTGGTGTCAAAGTAAATACCAAGTAAAGAACAAGGTAAGGTAAGGGAGATTTTTATTATAGGTGAAACCCCTGCTCAAGCTACTAATGCTTATGAAATTGAGAAATTAATAGTCATTAAACAAGCCCACCACAAGATTAGATTCCAAGGAGGAAGAGAAAATGACATTGAAACTTTCTCTATTTGCAAAATAAACTATCTAAATCCAGCATACGCAAAATGAGCAATAATACATATACTAAAGGCCACATGTTAAACCTGAACACTAGATTTTTCACAACACAAATTTGAAACCGCTATATCCACACTTGAACTAACTACAACCGATTAGAGAGGAATTCGGTAAATTACATGATACAGATTACTACCATTTCCATGGAATAGCTCATAAATTTATACCAAAACACAAACCAAATTGTAGGAACTACATGGATTTCAAATATCCTTTAGTCATTTACAATGCTCAAACAACACTGCAATCATAACAGGAAGGGAAATAAACATCAGTTCTGACCTTGAGAACACTCTCCAAATAATTAGTAATACCAGATAGCCAATCCCCTTCTTGCTTCTGTGCAGTCTCGGTCACAGTTGCATCAGCGAGAGTGTATATTAGGGCTTCCGCTCTATCAAGCAATCCATGAATGGCCGAAGAAGCATGAGAAGAGGATTGAACAACCCCATCAAGACCTTCTGGATCAAGAAAAGGACCGGAACTTAACCTAACCGATACAGAACGTCTCGGCACAGTAAAGCCCGGCATTTTGTTCCATCTGTCGTATCTTTCTAAGTTCAAGCTGTGAACGCCGCAGGAAAAGTTGCCGGAAAACCACTGACAAGAGGGATTTGTTCGTTTTCCGGCGTGTTGTAGACGAAAAAATGGAATTAGGGTTAGAGAGGCAGCCATTGCCTGTGATTCTTTGCCGGAATCTTCTGATTAATGATTTGACTGATTATGAAAACAAGGAAACAAAAACCGCACTTAAAAAGCATTACTCTGTACACTAAAGAAGCACGTGAAAAGTGCTCGCAGACTGATGGTTACTGGGGATTGAAATGTGTCGTGTGAGGTGTTGCACCAGTTGCTTGGATTTGTTTATTACAAATGAGTGCATTTGACCGTTTGGGTCAGAAAGTCACGACAACCATCGTAATCTATAGCCAAACGATTTCATGCTCCCGAGGGAATGCATTGCCCACTTACTACATCGGGAAAAACACTATGTAGACGTATTTTTCTAGTGAAAAAATTTATGTAAGGATGCTACCTTATAATGTAGAACTATGGATGCCCCTCAAAAATCCATCTGAAAAGGTAGTTTTAATATTAAAAAACCCTTTGATTGATCATCTCGACATCGAGATGTATGACTATGAAAAATAAAAAGATTTTAAGTCGATATATTTTACAATATATTATCTACACCGTCCATTTTCAAGATTTTCATATGTTCATAGATCTACTTGATTTTAACCATTTTTTAAATTTTAAATTTTATGATTAGATATAAAAATAGATTTTGAGATAATCCTAAGAACATTTTACCTCAAAATTATATACCATGATAAAATTTGAAAGTGCACCTTACCCCTACACCTACGGATGCATCCGTAAGTAAACTGCACCCTTTTTCTAGTACCTCAAATTTTGGGATGTAAACCTTCAATCTATGTGCTATACTCAATAGACAATTTCCAAATTGCATTCTTTATGATCTTGAAAAAAACAATGCCTCAAGATTGAATAAAAAACATCCAATTTTTTAAGTGTGAGATCCAATTGTTAACAACTTTAGTTTTTTTTTTATAATCATCTAGTAATTTTTTAGGCGGTTCCTAAAATTTCGTTGCAAAAAATCTTCAAGTTAGTCCCTTAATCAAGGTAGTCAAGTTCATAGTAAGCAAAGTATATGTATTGTATGTACCGTCCATAATCAGGAGTATGTTTTGTGTAGGGAAATTCGTACCTATTACACATATGATTGTGAACGCAGTCTATGATGGTTATGAGTTATGATCATACAAAGATTATGAGAAAAATATTATTAAAATGGTGAGATGATATGAAAAAATCATTGAGATGGGAAATGAAATAAATTCCAACAAAGTTGTTATCTTAATAAGACCATTCCATTCAAGTACCTTTGCATTATTATTTTTCTCGCATTTAAAACACTTAGAAAGCCCTTAGGATTACACTATTCCATAGCACTTCGGACCATACAGCACTATAGTTTGTGGTCCTCACTCCATGATCCCTTTTCCCTCTAGACTCTCATCCAAATTTGAAAATAATCCAAAAATAGGACAAATATCGCGTTTAATTTCGAAAACAAAATGATAAGTATCTAAAAACGCGTGAGAGATAGCAAGAGTCAAAATTTCAAAATTCTGGTATAATTTGATCAGAGCAACACAAAGTGTGTCGCCCAGACCATTTTGTGCATGTTCACTGTATTTGGTCAATATTAGGGCTTGCAATACAGTTTGTGTCGACTGATCACGTTTGACCAGAGCGATACACTTTGTGTTGCCCTTTGATCACTAGAATTTCGAATTTTGAACTCTAACCAATGGGATGAACATCCCTAACCTTTTCCCAATCATTTATAGGTCTATCAAAGAATTTGAATCCGACCTCTTAATGGTTGGTAAATCAAGTTCTATATAGATTATGTGAGTGGAAATAGATACCTAAAACCCTAGGATCATCAACCCTCATTAGAGAGACCCAAACCTAAGCCTTCAATTATTAGGTTAGGAAATCTACAATCCCATTTCAATCAAAACTATTCAATTATGAAGAGGAAAATGAAGACAAACGGTGTAAATTGAAGCCGCAGTCCTAATAGGGGTGAAGCTTCAGAGCTTCGAGTGTCCTGAGCTAATTGGCTCGATCAAGTAAGTCTTGAGTTACTTTCATTTCTAATTAGATCTTAATTTAATTTCTTTGATATGAGTATTTAGTGCGAGGATCATGTTGGTCCTACCAATGATCTAAAGGTGGATCTGTTCATTTGAATAGATCAACCCTTATATCATAATTCGATTGATTCCACAACTCATCTACTACTTTTAAATAATGAGTTTGTGTTGTCAAATCGAGGGATTTTTATAGAATTTTCATCTGACAATCTCTCATATCCGCTTTGTGAATAACCTTCGGGCAAGCTTTCTATACTTTCCCTACAACATAAAACTTATATGCTCCCCCATTCATTCTAAATGGAGGGCTAAGATTGTCCCAATTACAATGTCATGTCTCTATATTATTTTATTTTTTCATTTTTTTTTCTATGAACTATTTTGGCACCAAAATTTGTACATCCAATCATCTATTAAACTCGTACCAGCGAAAATTATAAAAACAAATATTTAAAATAAAATAAAATAACCAAAATACCCTTGAAAAATTCCAAAGGTATTTTAGTCGTTATATTTTATAGAAAATTTATTTTTAATATTTTTTATAGGTACGACCCAATGAGAAGATAGCATGTACCAAATTTCATATTCATACAAATTGTAAAAAAAAACTAAAAATAAAATACTTTGAGACGTCGGATCTAAAATCAAACAGAGAATGACTCTCTTGATCAAAATTGGACAACTGGATAGTAGGAGAAGCATAGATCAATCGTTTAAATTTGCAACGTCATGCAAACAACACCTATATATAGAGAGAGGAAGTAAGCTATGCTTCTTCTTTTTTGACAAATGAGAAGTAAACTATGCTATTAGGTGCTCTTTTTCTTGTATTGTTTTTGGAAAATAGTTTTGATGGATAAATAAAGCCTCACTTCATAACTCATTGAAAATTACAACTCCCCCTCATCGAAAATTACAACTCCAGCTTTGAAAAACCTTGTATCCATCATCTTGTCTAAAACGTTATAATTGTGGACAAAAAATAGGATTTCATGCTCTTAAAATGGTGTATAGCGTAACAAATTATCTAAACCGTTCATTATTTTCCCGAGTTCAAGATCGTCTAGATACGTATCTGTACATTTTTTTCAGTTTCAAAATTTTCTGTCTGAAAATTGATTTGAGGTGAGGCTTTATGAGAGCAGAGGCTTTATTTTGTTTTCACAAAGCCTGTCTCTTATCGGGTTGATCATGACTCGAGCCTGAACTCTCATGTCAATTCTGAGAACGTGAGTGATGAAGATGGCTATATATCAGGTTTAGCTCAGAAAATGGCTGGTTCTGTGTTCGATGGTGATGAAAAGGTGAATATGGAGCAGTTTTTATGGGATGGAAATGGAGGTTTTGGAAACCAGACGGTAAGATTTTAGAGAGAGAGAAATTGTGCTTGACCATGCTTGTTGTGTTGGAACTGGTTTTTCTTTCAAATGGGTTCATGAATCATTTCAGTTAACAAATTATCAGTGTGATTTTGCAACTTTTTGGCCATGAGTTATTTAGGCTGGTTTTATGAAAGATTTTAATTGGTTTTTTGGGTTGATTTATGATTTTACACAACTATTTTCATGGGAGTTTCAGGTATAAATGATAATTCCAAGGTGAGTCCCTATTTGAATCTTGATCATGTACGCATCAGGGTAGATTGTATGCACTATGTTTTTTCTTCCATAGCAATCTTTTCCAGGAATATTATGTGCCCTCTTTTCTCAATTGCTACTGAAATCTCTTTCTCTCTCTCTATGTATATATATATCTTTCTCTCACTTTCTCTCCTTCTGATTCATGGTTAACTTATGCATCAGGCCATAGGGTTAGAGAAAACTATCTCATAAATTAATCAGGACATAGGGTTAGAGAAAACTATCTCATAAATTAATCATCTTTATGAATTTGTACCATAATTTCCGAATTAGAGGCACAAGCTTGAGATCCAGTAATCATGGTTACTGTAAAAGGAACAGCTTCTTGAGAGTTTGGGCGAGAATAGAGGGCTGGGCTTAACCTGGGACAAGCTGGAGAACCATATGATCTAGACAGATATTTCATTTCTCAGGTGGAGCTTTGAGAAGAGATGATGAAAGCTTTTCTAGAGAGAGAAAATGATTAGGGATAGAGAAAGAAGAGAGGGTCTTTTATGTTCTACAGTCAGTCTTCATCTGCAACTGACAAAAATGCAGAGCCCTTAAAAGGGATCAATTTTTTAGTTACTTTAGGCTCGTTTAGTTCATGCGTAGAAAAGCACGCAGAAATTTTTTTTTGTGAAAGCCACACTTTTGCATGTTTGGCTGGTGTGAAGTGCTGGGTAAAATTGTCCCCGTGCGTGAATTATTTTCCCTTTCTCTTTTGTCCCATTCTCATCTCTCTCTATGTCTCATCCCATTCTTGCCCCCATACTCCCCATTCCAAACACCACCCATTCCGTACTTTCCCCCACCCCATTCACCCTACACATTCTTCCTCTCCCCACCTTCAAACAACAACTGATTTTTCTCTTTCTTTTTTTTTCTTTTTTTTTCTTTTTTATATTTGCAAAATTAATATCTGGATCTAGCCATTGTTTTACGGCAAAAACATCAAGTGAATTTAACAAAGTCATGGCGGTAATTTGCATGATCTCTACCGTCTACACTACTACTTCTGATTTTTCTCCAGCAGAAAAATCAGTAGTATGCTATCAATTTCATCACATTTTCTTGATCTCTATAACACTAAACTAAGTCATTTGTCTATGAATAGAGAATCATTTAGATTGAATAAGAGCAGATTGCATCATTGAAGTTTTGGCATTATTGGATCATTTTCTGTGGCTTTTGCAGCCAAGAAAAACAATAGTGAAATATTCAATTTTAGAGATCTAGACTAAATCAAGTTGCGCCAAGTTTTATGTTGGCAGTGTCTCATCTCAATGCAGCAATGCATTGGATGTTTTGGTGTTTTTGTTTGTTGCTGAATTTATTTCTTTTTGTGATTATTCATTAGAAATGCATACAATGAGACCATTTAGTTTTGACATAGGGAGGCCACAATCATTATTGACTGTTGGATTTGAAATTGGGTGGTTGAAGACGTGTCATTGTTTGCGCACAAAGTCCAAATAAAATATCTCGAATGTCGTGTCACACTTTAATCTATTGGATTTTACATCCAATGGCTAAAAGAGATTGTGGCCTTCTTATACCAAAAATAAATTGTCTCGGATTATACAATCCCTTTTTCATTTTTGTTGTTTTTATGTGAAATGAGAGTTGGGGCTTATTGTATTTTAGTTAATTATGCTTTTTATTGCCTCTTTTCTATGCATAGATATGGTCTGGCGTTTTTGTTTGCTCCTGAACTTTTTGTTTGCTCCTGAACTTTTCTGCTCTTCTATTTTTGTATGTTATTTTATTGTGAATTTGGAATTGGGTTTCATACTCCATACGAGTTAAATATACATATTACAAGCTAGAGTATTACAAACTAGAGTTTTACAATCAACAATGTGTTTGTTGGAAATAGTAGGTACTTGATGACCTCATGTGGGCTGAATTTGAAACCTATGATCATGCCCCTCTTTACTCAAGTTTG